TCCAGAGCAATTTTTCATGTTCAGTTTCTGGCAATACCGGGTTAATTGGAGTTGATTTGCCTGTCTTGGCATCCCGAGCCACAAATGTAAAGTTTGCTTCAAGAGCAACTGACTCAGAGTCCGAGGAGTGGTTGGCATCTGAAAAAATCTTGCTTTTAGGATATTCAGCAAAGCAACATGTCACTCAATGCAATGCGAAAAATAATTGGTGGGGATTATCGACGTTTGAAAGGGAAAAAACCAATTACTCAACTAGAGATGTCAATCTCATTGCAAAAATTACAGAGATATTACTGAATTAAAACGGACCACGAAAGTAACATTTTGGTTCCAATGATGACAGTTTACAACAGGAATTTGTCTATCAATGAAAGCTCAAAGATTAACGGACTGAATGCCAGTAAGCTGTCTACTAGAGATAGATCATATAGTAATTCGACAAATATCTCACAACTAGCATTTTCTTCAACTGGTTATCACAACTCTCTGCATTTTTTAACCACTTAACCACCACCTCATCTACCAGTTCAAGCATGAAACCCAACAAACACCATGTAACTTCGAATTCAATCAGATATTTTACTCATATTGCTATCCGAGTGTCTATCATCTGGGTTTGGTTAAGAAGAAATATATCGGTAAAACCCATTTGACCCAAAGAAAAGTTTTGAGGAACCTGAGCAAGAAGATTGCACAACAGAGAGAAACCAATACCTTGAGTTTGGATTACTTGTAATTGCATCTCCATTGATGATCTTCCAACCCATGTAACAGCGCCTACTATACTCAGGTCAGCGTCCACACGAATTGGTCGTTTCATGATAATCCTATCCACAGAAGCAGTCACCAAAATCATTGATCTCGCACTTCCATCACCGCTACAATGCTGTTCAGTAAAACCATAAATTCTCCAAAATACTCAGGAGGATTGTAAAAATGACACTAGACAGAATGAACACAAATGAAGAACAAGAGCCAACATAAGAGGCTCTTCACTAACACCAGAAAACACATGATCGGATTAAGAAGAACCTTGAAGGAGATAGTTCCGGCAAGAGCATCGAGATCTTCAACCAATTTACCCGTACGAATCTCGTTCCAAGGGTTCCTGTACTGCTCGCGAAGAACAAAATCAGAAGAAAACTTGTAGAGAATAGAAGTCCGGCTTCGTGACGGAGACTTAGCCGTCAATTCTGAATGAGAATCGTCTCCGTTAGGGTTTTCGAACATGCTACGCCTGGCTTCCCAAAGCGCATTGGTCACGGGAGAATGATACATTCCAGGCCACAAGCTGATGGGTTTCCTCATGGAAGATCCTGCGTCGATCGGAATTTCAGCCGGCGGGACCGTGGAATTCCACATCTTCTGAGAATCGCACGACCTCGAAGCCGGAATCCATAATCCATCACGTTTCCCGCTGTTTCTCCGTAGAGAATTCGAGAGAAGATTTGTCGCTGAAGATCTCATTGGTCTACGATGATGAATGCGAAGAACTCGAGAGGTAGAATTTTGCCTTTTGAAAGGATCAGATTTTAATCATTGTTACTTCTTTTGGGCATGCTTTTTGATCTTTCCAAGCTATAAAAAGTGCTAATCACAACACTTGAGAATGATTTTGCTCTTTGCGCGGAAACTAATTATTAATATTAATATTTGATATGTACTGTATATGCAAATGGGCAATTGCAAAAATGTTATGCACATTTGATATTTGATATGTACTGTATATGCACATTTACAAAAATACCACTTAGAAGTATCTATTTGCAAAAATACCACTAATTATAGATTTATAAAATTTATATCTTAAAATTCTAAACCTTACAAAATATTTTGACTCCAAAAACCTTCTAAACACTCAAAACTAAACCATAATACAATATAGTTAATCCAAACATAAATTATATAATGAAAAAATAATTTTTAAAAAATGACATTTTTGCAAAGATTTTGAAAAGATCGCATTTTTGAAAAGTTGCACTTGGAAAATGGTATTTTTTAAAATTTCTCATATGCAAAAATAACTCAAATTTTCACAAATCACAAAAGAAGAGAAAAATCCACATACTATTTGGGCTGCGACAGGTTATACATTTTTTAAAATCA